TGGGATTTCGGCAAAAAATACTAATCATAATTTGGGATTTGGGATTTGGGATTTCGGCATTTGGGATTTTGGCATTTAGATTTTGAATTTGGGTGGCAAGTATAATTCACAACAGTCGGAGAAGCCTACCAAATCAAGACCACCTCTTGTACGATTAGCTAAAGCCGATATTGAGTGCATCATTTATGCCAGAGACTTGAAAGGCGGATCTAAAAAAGTTTCGGAGTGGTACAAAATTGGCACGCAAAAGTGCAATAAAATTTGGAAATCTGAAGACCCATACTCATATGCTAACTCAATAGGCAAACCTAACTTGCCTGACTGGTACCCTAATAATACCAAAATCGAGAAGACGGAAATATCACCCGAACTGACACCTCAAGAAATAATTACACCCGAGAAACCCAAACCAGATCTCATCGAAGTAAAGAGGAAGAGAAAAACAACCGAGATGGAGAATATCGCGCGTCGAGTAATGAGATCTGAGCTAGGGAAACTGGCTATAGAGGAGTAAAGCAGGTAATTAATCGTATATATCGTGTCCTTATATTATGATCACGATCTGGATAGGGGTAGCAACAATTACTCGAATGTATATGCCATATTTGAATCGAATAAATGGATGTATATATGTTAGTATGGCTAAGTCAAGAAATAATAAGCGTAAAACAATGGGTAAGTTTACCGATAGTCCATCCCAGTATATGCAATTATTAAACCAGAATAAATATGAGCATACGTATAATCCAGGGAATAACTTCGTGGTGGTCGAGAATAAAAGTAAGGGAAGTATAGTAGGAGTGTTCGATTATACTGAACTATATGTATATTTGGAAATGCATCATCCGAATTTATTATAGCCACTGTGTGACTGCCTTCGGCAATTTCGTTTTGTAGTAAGATAATTCAACTGCATTAATAAATCGCGTCCTTGCATTGTAACTGCGATCATGATAATCACTTTTTTACGTATTACGTTGCACATTCTCATTGCCCGTGTCGTTCGAGATCACGAAAAATTATTAGTGCGTGACAAATTGTCACGCAGTCACATGATTTGCCAAGAAAATTATTTCACAGGTTAGATCCACATGCTTTTCGTGCGATCCAATTTCTATATAGAAGTTCGTGGAACATTCTCGTATAGCATAGATAATCGTTATACGTATTTTTTTCGTTTTATTTTAGCCTGGGAAATACTTCTATACCACATATGCTTTGCGATAAGAACATGCGAAAACAAGAATTAAAAAGGCAATAAGGAAGAAGAACCCGTTATCCCCTATCAACGCTGTTATTAGAAAATGACAGTTATAGGACTTTGGAATCTCCGCCATCTCCGTTAGATCGTCATTGCGATAACTGACTTTAGTCTTGCAGGAGCGATCTCGAACAAAAAGGAATTTCATTCTCCCTAAAAACACCAAATATATACAGGCTTCGGCTT